AAGCCTTCGCTACGTGAGAGCGTTGGAAAGAGCAAGATAGAGCGGGAAAGAGAGGGATTCACACAGAGAGAGAGAGAGGCGCACTCTCTCTTCATTCCTCTTGCCCTCGTCTCCCTTCACTCCACCCCCGCCAATAGCCCTAGTCGTTTCCAGCAAGTACTTCTATGTACCAACCATCTCCTACACGCTACCCTTATATACGTTGTATATTTACCTCCGCGGCATGTACGCGCGCTCGCGCGCGTCTGCCTATGTGCCGTACGTATGTACCGTACGTATGTACACCGGGGCCCGCACGGTACATAGGTCCGAGCGCCACATAAAAAGCACATGGGGCAGGTATAGCTCCGGCTGAAAATTATTCCGAGTATTTTCGAATTAGCGCGTCGGAAGCGGAGGAAACGCGCCGCTCGGTCGGACGCGCGGCGAGCGCGCGAAATGCGCTCCTCGCTACGAGGCGCCGGCGATGCAACGTCGTTCCTTCAACGCGCCCGAAACGGCCTCCTCTCCTCTACTCTCCGTAGCACTGAAATTCCGCAGCGACGCGTTGTTGGCGACTGTACCGCCTCCCTCTCTCTTTCTCCGTTTCTCTTTCTCTTTCTCTCTCTCTCTCTCTCTCTCTCTCTGCTCTCCCGCGGTATCGCACATACACATATAACATTTTCGAGCAGCTCCGGAGAATTTTCGGAGTCGCCATTGTTGCCGGGGTAGGTGGGCCGCGAGGCGGAATTATTCGCGGCGAGCGTGTTCGAGCGAGTTCACGAGCGAACGAGTAACTAAGGTTGGCTCGATTTTTAAATTGCAAAAGCGCGCGCCGTCCACGTGTTTCAGATTCTGTTACGCGGAAAAATAAGAGAGTCGCGGCGCCCAACGTGCGATTCGGATAGCACTTTGCATTTTACGGACGCGAAATTAAGATTACCATTTGCATCACGATTAAAACGACGGTTTTCCTTCCCTTACGTGACAGCGTCCGCGAACCTAAGGGAATCCGGTCCTCTTCTTCCTTTTTTTTTCCTTTTGGTTACATTAAATTAGCGCAGCGGACAAGACTCGCTTGACACTCGTATCGTAAGTACGAACGCGCGAATATGGTGTCTGTAATGACTTTTGCATTAATCTCGATATTCATCGCCGCCATCAATTTCCTGCGTCGATGCGTTATTCGATTTGACCGCGAATATTGAATCGCCGATTATCGATCGTAATCGACTAATGAATAATGCCGACGACACTGTGACACGCTCGATGGATTTAATATTGCGGTTCGATTTATCAAACGCCTCCAAATAAATTTCTTTAATGGCTCGGAAAAAAAAACAACAGAAGAACAGCGCGTGTAAAAACGATATCAAATAAAAGTAATAGCGATACAATTTTATCGGTCAATTTATATTCATTGAAAATTTATATTATTTAATTAACAACTTTCAATGCGGCTTTATGCACGTTGCACGCCCGTGCCTTATATAACGCAGCGACCGATCCGCAGCCATAAAATTCCACGGCTACGCCGTGGTAGTTGCCGGCCCGACTGTACGTCGGGGCTGGCGGTATCTTTTATCTCCTTTCAACCCGCGCGTCCTTAGGAACCGCCGCGGTCGGGCCGCGGGAACAGTCCGAGAAGCAAACCTGACAAATTACAATTACCAAAATGAAATTGTCCTCCGAGGCGTCACTGTTCGCCCCGGTCTCGTCCATTTCGCCGTTGCCGGCTCTCATTTTTTTTCCCCTTCGGACAAACGATACAAGTGGCCTACGATCATCGCGAGTTTCCGATACGAATTTCTCGGTCTCGCTCGCCGCGAGGGCCCCCGTAACGCGTCCCGCGAGAAACGAAAACAAAACGCCGTCTCGCAAAGTGCATCGTTGTTTCGCATTACGCTCGTTTCTCGAACACGTTCGAACAAGCTGCTCCGCCCTCAGAATTTCTGAGTGACGTGCGTACGTACGTCGCTCCGGCGATGATGCACACCGGGATATAAGTTGCGTCAAGTTCCGCGGAAATCTTTCGCCCTAACCATCCCCGTCGCTCTACTTTAGAACGCTCAAGAAACCCTCGCTACGAGGCGGGCATGATGAAATCGCGCGCGGCGCCAAAGTATCCCGGATGCGCGCGGGATTCGGTGAATATCACGAATAGGAGAAATATATATGTTCCCGGCGTATCTAGTAGCGCTGGGCGAAAAAAATTCCTCCCGGATTCACGTCTGTCATATCTAGTGGAATACACGGAGGGGGAGAGGGTGTCTCCCTGCCTTAGCGGAGTATTCTGAATATTAAAGTTAAAACTCTCCCACCCGATCAACGACGTACATACATGGACCAAGCATTCCGGTCTGCAGAGTGAAGCTTCGAGCAAGGGGGTGGCCACTTGATGTAATCGTGGGTCAGTGTCTCCGAAATCATTATAAAATCCTTACGAAATCCCCGTGTAATCGTTTTGTCTTAATTTTCAAGTTTCTTCACTTGTTAACAGTAAACATAAAATTTCAACATTTTCTCAGCTTGATTTCATTCCCCCCCCCCCCCCAAATTTACTTCTTTTAGTGAATATCCGAATACATATTATAGTTCACAAGCGCGTATTCTTTTCATAACAAGACTGAAGTAGTTGCTGTTAGAACAACAGCGAGTTGAAACGTTGATACACCTTTGCGCGCAAGTTTGAAACAATGAAGAGCAAAGGCAAATACAAAATTACTTTTCGTTAAGACCACGGTTAGACTAGTGGAAAAAGTGAGAGGCAAGGAAACACGTGACCGAATACTAGAATCTTAACTGAAATTACCTCTACAAGCAAATACTTTTTAGCAAAATAAGAAAAATATATTATAAAGAAATCGAACAGCTCTATGAGGTTTAACGTTACATATTTTTAAACGTGCATATAAGAAAATCATTTGCAATCACATGAAATCGTGTAATTGGTGAGACATCATTTTAGCTAGTGGTTAATTGAGTTCGAGAATGAGATAGCCGTTTTGTGTCTACCGCTTTCTCACTCTAGCTTATTACTAATAGCGAATTCGGTTGCTTGCACTAGTGCGCACTGAGTGCACACTAAGGCTTGTTCACAGTCAATTCCTATATTTAAGGATCGTCTTAAACATCTCTCGAAATATTTCGTAGCCAGTAAAATGACGACGCGAAACATTATTTGGCTAAATACTTTTTGAGCATGTATTTAGGACAAAGTTAAATATAAAAATTAACTATGAACTTTAGTGCGCGCTCAGTGCGCACTAGTGCAGGCAATCCAATTCGCTATAAGCTAAATCAACTATCTCTGTCTCCAACTTCCGGCCTCACCCGCTCCATAGCAGAAGCGCAGAAATGCTTGGTCTATGTATGTGTATGTATATGTCGTTGCAACCGATAGAGATAAAAAATGTCGAGCTCGCGATAATTTTCGACTTACGAGAGCTACCGATGCGGGTCAACGATATAAAAGTCGATCAATGCATTACCACTGAAAATAGTTGTAAGTGTAGCACTGAACTACTCAGTGCTATACTTGACACTAATCAGTGAATATTCACGGTTTTCAATGCTAATCCACTGGTTGACTCTTTTAGAGAGTCGAGTTCGCGCAACTACGCGTACACGCGTATCGATCTGTCGTCCATTATTGATTATCAGATATTGATTATCGAAGACGGTAACCTACATTTAATCGTTTTCTTCGAGTGCTCTCTTCTCGCACGCACTGATAAGCTCGCGGCGAATTCAGCCGTGAATAAATTATCGCCGGACAATCGGGTATAATAAATTCCTTCCGTTTAATCGCGGGTGAAAATCTGCGGTCAGTTCTGTTCAATCTGCTTCGAATCGAAGGCAACATCCGAGGTACTTTCGATACGAGCATAAATATTACTCAGTGTACATATCGTTTCACATTTCCAACGGTGCAAAGTGAAATTATTGATAAATATGGATGGGCAATGAAAGATTAAGATAAACCGGATGCGTTATGGATAGAAACGATTAATAATAATTAGCGCGTTTCATCATTAAATGAATTAGTGGTAGCGCGTTATGTAACCATAAAATATTTCTTTCCTTCATGTATTTATTATATTTTGACGTACACGAAAATTATAGCGTGCGTGTTGAAAAGTCCGCGAGCGTTATTATACATGTATATTTTTACTATATTTTTTTTTCTGTTATGTAATATTTAATCCTGAAGGTAAAAAGAGCCAAACCTCAAATTTTATTCAAAAAATGTTTGGGGAGGGAAAAGTAATGCGTTTAAATATTAACAGCGTGTTCTCCCTACGGTGCTACGTACACATTTATTTATATTATAAATATGTATAAAATACATATGTAATCGTCTTGTTGCAATCCTCATCGTGCAGAAGATGCGAACGTCACGAAGAAATTGAACTCGACGATTCAGTAAACAAAAGAACATGTAACTTTGCCTACTCCTCTACATTTTCTTTTATTATTCGTCATCTATCTAATTACGTTGAAAGCTCGGTTGTAAAATTTGGTATTAGAAAAAAAAGATTGCCGAAACAACGTCATTAATGCATCGTGTCTCCACGATGCTCTTAAACGTTCGCGAATGTTCTCGTGAAAATTTCACCCGTCCGGAGGCTTGGCAAAAAGCGAAAGGCGACGATAAAGTTTCTTCATCGGGAAAATCACTCTATTATCCATCACTTTTTATACCGCGCTTACTCTACTGAAATATCAGTTTCACGCTCGCAAGCGTGTCTGTTGTAAATAAACCGCGACACGCATTTGTGCTACGGCATTTAAATATTCATCCTGATCCGTCTTAGCCCATCCATATTAACGCAACGGATCTGTGAAAAATCTCGCATCTATCTTTAATATATTCCTACTCTCTCGCGATTCGATATACACGCCCGTATCTATTCAATCTGCGTGCGTGCGTCTGGTTTTTTTTTTACAGAGTTATTAGACTCGTTAGATTTCACAGATCGTTGCCTCGGTATAAAATAAAACAATATCTCGTCACTCACCGACCGACGCGCAGCGGCGGAGCTGGGCCGTGTTGAGCCGCGTGTGATCTGCAAAACGCAAACACATCCAAATTATTATAGGCGACGCGCAAAACAATCCGCGCTAATCGACGCGATCGTCGCGCGCGCACGCGCGCGCAAAATCATCGCTTCGACAGTGACAAAACATATTTCATGATCGAAGCGACGAGAGAGTCACTCACCCTGCGGTTGCTCCGCCGACGTCCGACGCCTCCCAGGCCACCTCCTCCTCTCTCTCTCCTCTCTCGACCGGCACACAACACTCGTTCGCGAGGGCACGAGCGCACGGCACTTGGCGCACGGCTACAACACTCCCGACACTCCCGATCGCGAGGAAGACGTGGCCGAGCGATCGTCCGCGACATCGTAAGTCTTACGCGTGGTCTACAATGCGAGTCGCAGAGTCGTAGTCGTAAGAATAATCGACTGCGATTGGTCAATTTCGTCAGACACATAAGAATTGACCAATCGCAGTCGACTATTCTTACGACTACGACTTTACGACTTCTATGTAGACGAGGCTTTATTCTACACTGGGCGCGAAACGCCAAAAGCCCGTGTCGGACCGCGGAATGCGATTGGGATCGGATTGAAGTTTCGCCAGTCGCGGTAAAGTACCGATCTCAGGTTCAGTGGCTTGCACGCTAATCGGTCAAATTTTAATCTAACCTCGGTCTCAATCCGTGGTCTTGACGCGGGCTTGAGCCGCCCCGCGAGAAGTCGGCCGGTCGCAGTCAAACACGGGAACGATTTCTTCGCGTTGCGGCTTGGCGTCTTGCGTTCCGCTGTAGAATAAACCCAACCGCCCGACGTACGGGACGCGACCGCGAGCGTCGATCCCCGCTTCCGCGCGCGAAACTGCGACGCGACGCGAGTCAACGGTCGCGCGGCCGACGGGCGACAAAAAGTGCGTATACCGAAAAAACGAATGTCCGCGCGGCGAGCAACCCGCTAGATCGTACCTTTTCGTGGCTCTCCATCGGCGTTCCCTCGCACCGCGTCTGCGGCGCCTTTTCACGCGCCATCTTGCCGCGGAATATCCGTTCCGCGACGGAAGAACAGAGCACGCTCGAGTCTCGAAGCTTCCGCGATCCCCCTCCTCCCCGGACGCTCCGTGCGACACGCCAAGGTGATAGATATCGCGTCCCCGATTGATAGATATCGCGACGCGGGATTAATTCGCCCCCGAATTTACCGTTTCAATTCGCTCCGCGAGTCGCGGTCCGGTCCGCTCCGCGCGACGCTCCGTGGGAAACAGCGCTGCCAACTCTGCTCCGGTGGGGAGGGGGGGGCAACTAAATCAACGACGGAACGCGCGAAAGATCGGAGATTCAAATGAGCGATGTCTGGAACTTGGTGAAAACGCGCGTATCGGATCGTCCCATAAATAACGCGATGCAAGAGGAAGCTCGATTCGACAGCGAGTCCGATCTGCGATGTGCCCGTCGCGCCTGGAAACGTCCCGTTTTCCGCGAGCGAGTCGAAAGACGTGGGGAAATTTGCCGGCAACGTGCAGCTTATCAACTCGCGCGAATTTCTCAAACGTATTTATTGGCGGCTTACGAAAGGGAATCTTACCGGAAAGAGCACGCTGCAGATCGGGCTTGGTTCCTCGGCATCGGAGAGGCGCGTGTCGCCGGGAGAATTGAGAGGCGAAGATTAAGCCGGCGGCAAGTTACGGAAAGTGCGTCCCGGATTGGAATTAAAGTGTCAAATTTCTTCGTTTACCTGCAACGTCGTCCCTAACGAGCCGATACTGATCGATAAAACGGTTGATGGATCGCGCCCTTTTCCGTTGCTTCTCTCACGTCCCGTCGCTCCGCGCCATAGACATAATATATCTAGACCGAGCATCGTAGGGGGAAGAGCGTCCACGTAGAAAGAAAGGACAGGGCTCTGTTTTGCGCCAGAGACCCCGTAATCGGAGACCGGCCATGCGAGTCCGTCAAATTCCCGCGAGCGAGAGAGAAACATCAGCTATCTCACTCCTCTACGACCGTAACGATCGTGAAAGAGCGAGATAGCCTGTGTTTCTCTCTCGCTCGCAGGAATTTGACCAACTCTTCTGGCCGGTCTCTGATTACAGGGTCTCTATTTTGTGCTACTTCTCTCTCGTTCGCACGCGAACCTCTACCTCTCCCCCCCCCCCCCCGCTGCTCAAATGAAGGCAAAACGCTCGGTCCAGATATATTATGTCTACGCTCCGCGCCGCGCGCCGTCTGCCTCGTGCGAACGAATTGCGCCGGGATACAAGGTCCGTCGAATTGACCGGCGAGCTTCCGGTTTTCCGGCGAGCGTCGGAATGTAACGGCCGCGAAATATCGCGCGGATCCACGTCCGTCGCGCACTGCCGCGCGAAGGGTAATAACACGCCGAGCGGCGGCGGCGGCTCGGCCGGCGGCGGCGTCGGCGCTCGCCGCCTGCCCGAACGTAAACAAAGTAACCTTGAAAACAACGGCTCGCCGTGAGCATCCGAATCTTGTAAACACGCCAAACCGCCGTCGTCGCCGGTAAAAACACTTTATTTTCAACGTTGTAAAAACAGTTTCTAGCGAACTCGCGCGCCGGCAAGACGCGGCGAGGAGTAGCGCGCGCTCGAGTACTCGTCGCGAGAATGGAGGCGCGATAAGCGTGCGTTTCGCGGGTGTACTTACACGTATACGCGTGTGTACGTGTGCACGCGTTATGCCCGTATCACACTAGCGATTGGCGACTGCGTCTGCGTTCGCGTTTGCGTCTACGATTGTCTCTGGACCAATCAGAAAGGAGTTGCTGACGATTGCGATTCGCGATTCCCGTTTAACCGGCCGTCTATTTTCAAACGCGAACGCAGACGCAGTCGCCAATCGCTAGTGTGATACGGGCATTAGGCCCGGTCTACAATGAGTCGTTAGTCAGAAGTCGCAACTATATGTTGATCCTTTTCCTTTCTGGGTGGAAGAAAAAGGACCGACATACAGTTCCGACTTCTGACTAACGACTAACAACTCATTGTAGACCGGGCCTTAACTACGCGTATGCGGAACGTGCGAAAAACGAGCGTGTCGAATGCGGCGCGAAGATCAGTTGGTCGCGACCGTCGCCGAGTGTCGTAACGAGATGCGTCGAGTGTCGGATTGATAGTGAGTGGCTTATTCGTCCGCGTCCAAATAAATGTGTCCCTGGAGACGACAATGCTGCGAGACAGCGAGAGAGAAAGAGAGGTGCGCACTGGCTACGCACTTGGGCCCTCGTCGCGTGGACGACGCAAAGGTAACGACGCGGCAATAACGCGGCAATAACATCGTCCACAATGCGTGCGGTAAGCCTAAAGGCCATTCTACAATTGCGTAAACGTGGTTGTACAGTGTTGTAAAACACAGTTTTAAACTAGCATTTCCGATTGTAAAGCCTGTTGTAAAAGATGGCTGAACTTGATCTTTCACGACTACAGCGATGTAGGACGTAAAAGCTAACCAATCATTCACTTCAATTACGACGTATCTCACTCTATTGTATATTACTTTGATGTACAACACTTACTACCACTTCTACTCCTACAACCCTACGACTACGTTTACGCAATTGTAGAATGGCCTTAAAGTAAGGAACAGGCGTGAGGAAGTTAATCAATTTTTTTATATCTTGCTCCTACTTGAATTCTCGCGCTTGCTCTCAGCGAATCGGAACATTCGGAACGCCGTCGGCCAGTGTAGCAAATATCTTAAAACTGATGCCCGTATTTTAGCTTCCTTGCACCAAGAGCTAAAGATTAAGTACGGTTCTCTCTTGTTCCTTACGCCAGGCTTACTCCATGCATTGTAGACGACGCTTAATGCGTCTGCAATGCGTGCAGTAGGCCTGAAGTAAGGAGTAGGAGTAAAAAAATTAATCAATTTTATTTCTTATTCCTATTTGAGCTCGTACGCTTACACTCGGCGAATCGGTACGCCGTCGGTCAGTGTTGCAAATATTTTAAAACCGGTGCCTGTACTTAAGCTTCCTTGCACCGAAAGGTAAAAGTTCTCTCTCGCTCCTTACGCCAGGCTTACTCCATGCATTGTAGACGACGCTTAATGCGTCTACAATGCGTGCGGCAAGCCTGAAGTAAGGAGTAGGAGTAGAAAAATTAATCAATTTCATTTCTTACTCCTATTTGAGCTCATTCTCGGCGAATCGAAACGCCGTCGACCAGTGTTGCAAATATTTTAAAACGATGCCTGTATTTTAGCTGCCTCGCACCAAAAGCTAACGATTACGGTTTTCTCCTGCTTCTTACGCCAGGCTTACTCCGCGCATTGTAGACGACGCTTAATGCGTGCAGAAAGCCTCAACTACGGAGTAGGAGTACAAATATTAATCGGCGATTCGGAACGCGCGTCGGCCGGTGTTACAAATATTTGTAAAATTATGTCTGCATTTTAGTTCTCTTACGCCAAAAGTTGTTACGGTTCTCTCTTGCTCCTCACGCCAGGCTTACTCCACGCATTGTAGACGCATAACGGTGCTCCAGCGGCCGCGGCGAAGTCGCGGTAACGTTATCGCGAATTCGGCGCATTAGAAAGCGAGCCGAACATATATTGTTCCTTGCGTCCCCAAGTGATAAACCGGGCATTATCTTAGGCGGAGTTTAACGTTCGCCCGAGAAACGGGAGGCGTATCTTCGCTCTGATCGGGAAAGTATTTGCGCGAATTAATGTTAATTACTACTACTCGTCTCCCGAGAAGAGTGATACCGCCCGGAATCGCGATTCTAGCGAAGCGAGACGAGATCGGGCGTTATGCGGCGACTTAATCCTGTCCTCGTAATTTATTAAAGTCGCGCGAGTTCACTCATCTCGAGACGCGAGAGGTCGGATAACAAGTATTAACGACACAAATCAGTTTCCATGTATAAATATCTTTCCGGTCGAAACAAAAATGGAACCCTCGTTCCACAAATGATTATTAGATTTGATAATTTTTACAAGTGAGATAATTGCCTGTTTAATTTGTATATAACACGCGGAGGAATAAACAGTTCGCACAGTAATAATGCGCTAATCGAT